CCTTTGTTCCAGCACAAGGTCTGCCTGCAGCAGAAAACAAAACTCAACCTGTGGGCTTGAATTACTGCTGATCAAAGCCTGTGTTATGACACAGTCTCACATGTACTCACAGTACCAGATTTCTTCCGCTGTGGCTAAATTTACGTAACTGACATAATTTAGATCAGTTGAACTAGTTAACATGAAATGTACTCTTCAAACGTATTTCATCACCTACTTCAATTTTGATAGCAGCTGATGTAGCACATCCACGTATACATTCAAAATTAACAGCATGCTAACATTTTGGAATGCTGTGTCCAGATGCGGAGTCTTCAGTACAGTAGGAGAGACATGGACCTGTTGGAGTGTGTCCAGAGGAGGGCCACAAAAACGATCCGAGGGATGGAAGACTCTCCCTTACGAGGACAGGCTGAGAGAGCTGTGGCTGTTCAGCCTGGAGAAGAGAAGGATGCAAGGTGACCTGAGAGTGGCCTTTCAGAATCTAAAGAGCAGGGCAGAAGAAGGAAGGGGATAGCAGGGTCTGTTGTGATAGGATGAGCAAACTAAAAGAGGGAGGGCTTAAATTGGATGTAAGAAAGAGGTTTACTTCAATAAGGGTGGTGAGATGCTGGAACAGATTGCCCAGGGAGATGGTAGACACCCTGTCCCTGGAGACATTCAAGATCAGGCTAGACAGGGCTCTGAGCACCCCGATCTAGCTGTAGGTGTCCCTGTTCATTGCAGTTGGACTAGATGACCATTAAAGCTCCCTTTCAACTCAAACAATTCTGTGATTGTTATTTCCTTCAGATTGAATTTTAGCCCCTTTCCCTCCATGTCTCTTTCTCAGACTTTATTTCCATCTGCATTTTCCATCCTCAAATAAATAAATAAATAAATAAATGTTTTGATTTAATTTGAACATTCCTTGGAGCATGGCATCTATGATGAGGAATTCACTTATCAGTAAGTGATTGAAGGTACATGGTCATTAATACAACATACTTTACTGCAGAAAAAACTGTATCAGCAGTTCTGTGTAAATAAAGATTAGATTTTCAACCAGAGTGTAGCCTGATAAGAAACATGTTCATTTTGTCTGAGAAGGCCACCAGGAAATTAAGAGCCATCTTGTTTCTGGGGCACAGGGGAGAAGAAACATTCAAACATTTTAAACTTGGCATTGGTTCGTACCTACTTTTTGTGATAGATACTCAGTAGAGCAGGAAAAGAAATCAGCACTACCGCTTTATTAAACTTTAAAAGTACAACTTCCTAACATGTGGAAATAGTTCAGATTAGTGCAACAAATGAACAACAATTTAGTGATATGTAACGCATATCGCAAATGAAATTACTACCTTGAGTTTGGTAAGAACTTTTTGGTATAATTCACATAATTTTTGTACTTCATTTATACTGTATGCGGTCAAAAAGAAATTCATTAGGATGCGTTCTTAGAGCTGATTTGTTTTTGCCGTAGTTTTGCTACATTTGGTGGTTATCGGTGTTGAGCTGAGAAATCAGTACAGCTGAAATGCAAAATACCTAAGAAAATGCAGAAATTCATTTGTAGTAAGTAGGTGCCCTAGGGACTAAAACAAATATTTCTCTTTCCTGCTCAAATCTGGCTGCCCACAAACTACAAGTCAGCTCCTTAACAACCTTAACAACCTTAACAAGCTGTCCATGGCCTGAGATAAAGGCAGGAGACTGACTTGTCTGTTTAGAGCAGAGGGAAAGAGGTCACACGTGACAAGTGCTCTGTACTGTCCTGAACTCATTTCTCTATGTGGCACTCATGTATTGCTGCAGTTGAAATGGTGTAAGAGCACAATTAGAAAAACTGTTTTGGAATGCAGCTGAAAATAATTGTTAAAAAATCTGCTAGAAATTCAGAAAAGCAAAATATGTACTTTTAAATCACTTAAGATCTACATGTCATCAGCTCTTTCAGCATAGCAAGAATGATAAATCATTTCAAGTGAGAATCAAGCATCTCACAGTACAGCATCAGTCAGTATAGCTGTAATTTAGAAATGAGAAAGTGTAATTCTCTACTTTATGCCTATATACATTTCACTTTGCAGCAAACATGGATAAACTACAAATAAGACCAGGAATCGGGAACACAGAAGATGTTTGTTCTACAGCATTGAAATGATCACTTCTGGCAGAAAAGATACTCATTACTTGTGTTTCACAGCCTGAAGTTTAAAATGGAGTTCAGAAGTAAATGAGCATGCAGCACTCCTCCTCCACTAAATCACCACACCTTTGGATAAAGGACAGATATTCAGTTCCTGCTTTGAGAGCTGCTGACACTGTTTCTGGGAAACTTTCACACACTAAGCAGGACAGAGATCCACAGTGACAATAATCCCTTAAAGGTTGTCCTGCTTTTGCATTCTTCCTTCCAAGAAACAAACAAACAACAAACAAACAAAAAGCCCACCAACTTTATTAATTGCAGAACATAGGCTAATCAGGTCTACTGTACAGTCACACAAATTTCTGTAAGCATAGATTTCCAGCTTGAGAAAAACAAACAGGGCAGCAACTGCTCATCTTGAAGGAAGGCACATTTTAAAATGGTGTAACACTTTCCATACAAAGCTGAGTGCGCTCCAGAGAGCCTTTAGAACTCTGTAGTCTTACAAGGTCTCTGGTAGCTAGCCATCAGCTCTTTCTTCTCTTTTTTTTTTCTTTAATTTTTAGTACTTTGTCCTAATATAAACCCAGTATAAGTTAAGTAATGCTAAACATAAACACATCACCTGATCATTGTACCTTTTGGTAAGTTCAGCACATGCCAGCCCATCTGAGCTCTTCCATAAAAATATTCCCTTACACCACCTGTTGATCACTAACTTAATTATAATAATTAAGACCCATCTCCTTAGTGGGCAATGAAGTTCAGTGAAAACCAAACTAAACCCACTTTTAATAGGTATTTCTGGAATCATAGAATGACTAGTTTGGGTTGGAAGGGACCTTAAAGCCCACCCATTTCAAACTCCTGCCACGAGCAGGGCTGCCCCCCACCAGCTCAGGCTTCCCTAGGGCCCCAGGCACCCTGACCTCGAGCACCTCCAGGCATGGGGCACCCACAGCTCTCTGGGCAGCTGAGCCAGCACCACAACGCCCATGTAGCAGAAGATCTGTTTCTTGTTTCTAGTCTAAATCTACCTTCTTTCAGCTAAAAGCCCTTACTCTATCATTACACTCACTGCGAGTGAGTGTACTCGCTCACTCTATCATTTCACTCACAGCGAGTGTATCATTACACTCGCTGGCAAGTCTCTCCCCAACTTTTCTGTACTCCCTTTCAGTATTGAAGGCCTCAATGAGGACAGCAGTTCCCTGAAGGGGCACAGAGGGCACGGTGTGGCAGTTCACGCAGGAAGTGCGTCCACAGCCCAGCAGGCAGCCCGCTCCCTGTCTCTTCTGAGAGCAGCAGGAAGCTGCGCTCCGTTGAAACAAACGTGGTGACCACCTGCCACAGTGGTTGAGCTCAGGCAGAAGCACAGGCTGGAGGGCCACAGCTTCGCTGGGCTGACGCATGGACACAGACAGAGCTCCAAGGAAAGACAGAGCTGCACAGACTTCCAGCTGTGGCAAACTCCAGAATCCAGAGTCCTTCTAGAGCCTGAGGGAAGGAAATGTCACGGCTGCAAGTGTGCCCAGCTCGATGAACGTTCAGAGGAAGTGGCCAAGTTGTGTGAGGAAATCACCAGGCAGCATAGTTTCTGTGAATCAGAGACAGACTGATGTATGGTGTTGTTCAGTGACACAGACAACCCTGTCTTAAGTCCCTGCAAGAGGAAGGTAAGCTGGCTTCCAGCTTTAAGGAGACAAACAGCAAAAACATGCACGAGAAAGGAAACTGAAACCTCCTGTCTGCTGGGAGCAGGAGTCATTGTCTCCCTCTTGTCCCCCTGGTGTCCCTTATGCAACAAAGCTCTGGGGATGGAAAGATGAGAGGTGATGGTTCAGAACTGGAAAAGGACAACCCTGTAAAGTTGGTGCAACCAAATACCCAAGTCAAAACCAGTGACACCAAAGAACAGACCTCCTTCTGGCGTTCCAGTACTTAAAGGGATCCTATAGACAGGAGTTAAATTGACTTTTAACACAGGCAGATAGTGATAACCAAGGGGGAATGGTTTTAACTAAAATAAGGTATATTTAGATGAGATGTTAGGGCAAAACTCTTTACTCAGCGGGTGGTGAAGCACTGGCACGGGCTGCACAGAGAAGCTGCGGATGCCCCAACCCTGCGGAGGCATGGAAGGCCAAGGTGGATGGGGGGCTGGGCAGCTTGATCTGGTGGGTGGCAACCCTCCCCACAGCAGGGACTGGAACTGCATGATCTTTGAGGTCCCTTCTAATCCAAGCCATTCTATACTTCTATGATTGAGGCCTCCAAGAGCCCTGTCTTCTCCAAGCTAAACAAGCACAGCTCCCTCAGCCTTTCTTCATAGGAAGTGTTTCAGCCCCCTGATCATCTCTGTGACCTCGCCCAGGACCTGCTCCAACAGCTCCAAATCTCTCTTCTGGGGGCCCCAGACTACATGAAGTACTCCAGGTGAGGCCCCTCCAGAGCAGAGCTGGGGGGGGAGGGAATCACCTTCCTGTCCCTGCTGTCCACCCCTCTTTGGAAGCAGCCCAGAGTACTGCTGGCCATCTGGGTAGCAAGGACACACTGCTGATTCACGTTCAGCTTTTCATCCACCAGGGCTCCCAATTCCTTCCAAACAACCTTCTACTTTGAGACGTTTTCTGAAAAATTCTGTTAGAAAAACACTTTTACTTGGAATAGCTCACAGTGTCAACTTATGACCCTGCTGTATAACCATAGCTACTGTTACCAATCTGCAACATACGCATATTTTTCTTTAAGAAACTTATTTATGAGGAAAGTTCTATTTTGCTGTAACAATAATGCATTTTACTTTGCAGTAAGGTTGATACTGCACCTAAGGGAAAATGCAGTATATTAGTAAAGTAGTAAAGTCTTTAGTCAAAATTTGAAGCGATTTTTATTTTCTTGCAACTTCCAGAATCTTACTTAAAGCTTACGTTTTACTATAACAAGCAAGTTTCCCCTACATACGCCTTAAATATTTGCTTAAATTCCCTACCTCCAATTTAAGTATTCATAATTAATATATTTTAAATTAAGCACTTCAGTTGACACATATAATAATGTAACCACTGTCCTCTCCCTTTCTAATTATTAGCAGCCAGTAACTGTCTGCAAACTGGGTCAAGTAACAACAGTGGAACAGAATTTATTATAAACACTGTATTATAATAGTGTTCAAATTGATGTAGACCCACAGCTTCATGTTCTGAAATAGAAATAGCATTTCTTTTAAAACTGCTGAATACCAGGGCCCAGCAGGAAAACAAATAACTTACTTCAAAAGCCTAATGGTGTTTTTCAGAAGTGTGATAAACTACCAAATTCAAGTACTTAGCATCTATATATAACTTTTCATTTTTAAAGTACAATACAAATGCTATCTAGATGAAATGTAGGCAGACTCCAAATCCAGAATGTATGGTGATCAAATGAACAGCACCAGCAAAATATAGTGTAATTACTACAGTGATATTAAGTACTTCATTAATCAGTACTTCATCAGAAGCTAGCTATATATGACTAGTAATGGAAGACCAGGTAATTTACAAGCGGAATGTACAGATACGAAATGTTAATGCCATCTATGGAACAAGTTACTGTGATCACAAGGAACTGACATAGGAGCTCTACTGGCTTCAAATGCCTGACTTGGAACTTGCAGGAAACGTAAGGAAACCATTCCAGTGACAAGCACGGCCTGTTTCAAGTGTGTTACAGAAGACTAAGATACATCATCCTTATACATCAATGTGGATTCCATGTTTTATAGACATTAATTCTCTAGTTCCCGTTAAATACATAATAAAGGAGCATAGATGAGGTAAAGACGCTGTAATTGCCACATAGAGCCAGTATGGCAAAGGAGGAGTTTTTCCAAATGGGCAGATCCAGAGGCCGTGACGAATCCCATCACGGATGTGATGAGAAGTCCAGGATATAAACAACATCCAAGGAAGAAAGCACCATGAGTCCTTAAGCCTAAAAAGGTGCATAATAAGCTTTAATGTCAGAGCCACAACAGGAATCACAGTAGAACAATGAAGGAATGGTCTCCGGGGAAGACTCAGAGCAGCCTGCAGAAAAGAAGAATGTAATTGCAATGGCTACAGTCATGACAAGAAAGATTTCATGTGCGTTTATATGTGTAATGCCATATGGCTAAGTGGAAGTGCAAAGAAAAACATATCATTCTTTTCCACTGTGGTTGATCAAAATCAACAACATGAACAGTCAAGCAAGCAGCAGGGCTGAAGGTGCTGGGACAAGCTTTTCTCTGTTGTCTGGATCACACATCCTGCTAAGCAATATACTAATGGAAACAGGAAGGGAGAGGTACAAAATATGCAATTTGTCATTTAGTCACAGGGCATACTGGAACCTATATAGTAGGCTGCACTGTACTGATTATATATACTTAAGATAATAAAAAGGAAGACAACCATACAATGGGCTTGAAATATTTAATGTGATCTATTGGTATTTATTTTCAAAAACACATCCTGTATTACATTTAATTTACTACCTGTAAATTTCTAGTTTGACTATATCTAACAGAGACACAGTTTCCAATATAATAAAAAATACTGAAGTTATATGTATTTCATTTGCCTTGACGTAGCATTCTTCATAAGCAGAGAAATGGAACAATCAGAATCTATTATGTGAATCATTTCTGATTTTAATTAACAGTTTGTTTAATGTTAATTCGGGAGAAAGCCTGATTTGGGGTTTTAATTAAGATGATGTCCAGCTAGTGAGATAACACACTACTGAAGATATCAGATTTAAGAAATGATAGTTATCAATTAAAAATGTACCTGAGAAAACACTATGGATGTACTTATTAGCAACAGTTATAATCACTTCCACAAACTCAAAGGACACAAAAAAATTCTGTATTTCAGAAATGAGTAAGTTGATTCATTATGTAAGTACAAGGGAAATGATAACATTTTACTGAAAGACTGATGACAGGACTAAAAACTTCACAAATACAAAGCAGAACAACAACAAAAAGCATCTCAACCTTTTAATTATAAGGGTGTAGGCCCAAATTCTTTAAGTTGGTACAATGGGTATGTTTTCTACAGATTTATTTTTGTTTCATGCAAGCAGATTAGGGGATTAAAGTGCAACAATCTTGTGATGGGGAAACTGTCATCTATCCTATAAAGACAGCCAGATTTTTGTTACTGACTAAAACCCCCTATTTTGTAATTGCAGTACAGTCTTTAGGCTCCCAAAATGCTGTAGCTGAAATTCTCAGAGAAGAACAGTCTGTTATCTCTTTCGTTCTTCTTCTCCTATGAAGAAAGGCTGAGGGAGCTGAGAGGGAGCTGAGCTTATTGAGCTTGGAGAAGGCCCTGGGGTGACCTCACTGCAGCCCTCCAACACTTAAAGGGAGCTTCAAGGCAGGAGGAAGACTGACTTTTTCCATAGGCAGATAGTGAGAGGACAAGGCGAAACATTTTTTTAACTGAAAGAGATTCAGGTTAGATGTGAAGAGGAAACTTTACTCAGAAGGATGTGAGGCATAGGCTGCCCACAGAAGCTGTACATGTCCCAACTCTGGAGATGTTCAAAGACAAGTTGGATGGAGCCCTGGGCAGCCGGAGCTGGTAGGCGGCAGCCATGCCCATGGAAGGGGGCTGGAACTGGATTTTTTTTAAGGTCCATTCCAACCCAACCCGTTCCATTTTGTGATTCTATGATTTTACATTAATACCCTTAACTTGCTAGGCCCAGGAGAGAGAGAAATGTTCTCTTCGGCAATATAAGCTACTATACGTTTTCTCCTACCAGTCAATTTAGTTGGCCAGATTGAGACAGTTGTTTGCCATGAGAGAGACTGGGCTGCAGTTGCAAATAGGATCTATTCATAACATAAATGACCTTTTTCATATATCCAATGTTCAGCTAGTTGCAAAATCTTCCTCGAAGTCCGGCTCCCCCAGTCCCTCTCTCAACCACAGTGAGGTGGAGACTCAAAGCACACGTGGAACAACCCAACGAAATTCTACTTTAATGCTCATGAGGATAGCAATGAATTTATCTAACGACATGGGCTTCAGCACTCATATTCTGTGATTCTTCAGAAGCCCGAGGTCATTAGTATCGAGTCCATATTTGTAAATTCAATCTAAAATTGTGTGTGTGCAAAGCTTATTCTCCAGAAATGCTCCACTGCAGCCTGGACTGAGTCAGCAGTGGCTTAATAAACATCTGTTATGCATGTTTGCCAGTACAAAAGCCTGTGTGTCACTAGCTGCATTTTCTACACTTTCACAAGCTGGTAATTTTTAATTAGCAAGCTAGCAATTTCCACACATCTATTCTGCAACACGAGTATTTGAACTACAGGACTGGTGGAGACTTCTCATGCACGTCATGCCTGTATCACATTTAACCCACAATGTCACCCTAGTTTACCAGCAAAGCTGAACACGATGGCAGGTTCAGTAATTCTCAGACTTTTGTACCTTTGTGTGTGATTATAGAGTGAAAACTACCTGGAATATGCTGGAGTACAAATTCTAGGAAGCCTTTGTAGGCTTCACACTTATTACCAAAGACAATGTGGGCAAAAGGTCATACCAAATGTTACTTGGTACACAGGTATTTATCAGTGTATTGAGTATAAATCATATAAATACACAGATGACTGTTGACCCTAAGTACTCCAGAAAAAATGATGAAACAATAGCCAAACAGATCACCCAACAAGCAGTGTCAGCAGGAACAAGAGGAGGAAGCTGATGGTAGCAACTCACAGTAGATGCTAATACTGCCTTGTGCTGCTTACAAGAATCACTTAAAAAAAAGTAACCAATCATCAGATTTAATTATGATAATTAAGAGCTTTAAAATAAATGGCGTATAACAACGTAAAAGATACTACTGTTATAAATCAGTAATAGTGGTGTGGTTACTTAACTAGATTTGTTAATTTATTAGTTCCTTGGTTATGTATTGCTTAAGCAATAAATGCTGTAGTCTCATAAATCCGTTGCTCTCGATCCAGAAATATGAGGAGGGAGAGTGGGACTGGAACTAACACTCAAACAGTAAAAAGGCGTTCCATGAAGTAATGAGCTGCACAGGCAACAGTCTGAATTACAACACAAAACAGAAAGTAGTATGATATTAAGCTGCAGAAGGAAAAATCACATATTAAAAATCAAGTTTAGCTGGTCAGGCAGAAAAGTTTATGAGGATGACATCAGATCACTAACTAAAAAGACTGTTGGATGTATAAGAAGACTTAAAACTTGTAACAGATTTTTTATTTTTAAAAAGACAGAACTGCAAGTGATAGCAAAAAGAATTAATCTAGACTACCTGACTCAAATCTAAGCTGTTTTTGGAAAATTCTGTATATAGTTTGGGACAGGATCCTTTAAAGATAATTTAGGCAGACAATTTAGCAATTCAAAGGAGGCCAAATAAATGGCAGAAGACTTAGAAAATCTGGGTGCATTAGCTTTGTTTTGTGAATTGCTCAGTTAAGAAACCCGCTGCAAAGTGCAAATGTTTTTGAAGCTGTAAGATCAAACTGTTACTGTAAGGAGACTTTAGACAGGGTATAGCTTATAGGTAAAGCATCCTTTATTAGCCTAATTAACCTATGCAGGAAGAAAGAGCTAAGTGTGCAAATGATTATGACAAGGCCTTTGGTCATCTTGCTTTCTTACTTTCAGCTATGCAACTGTGGCTACTCAAGGGCTATCCTTCTGCCTGCAGTGCTTGTTTTTGTGATTTAAAAAGAAACTCGGAAAGAGCAAAGCAACCAGACATCTTTCCCAAAAAGGCCTTAAAAAAAAAACAACAACAAGATATAACCATCCAATGTTGGTAATTTAAGCTGAATATTAGAAAAAAAAAAATCTAGCTGTTTGGAAATTTCTTCCTATATTTTTTCAATTAACTCATAAGATTTCACTAATTTACTTTGGGATACATAAATATTCTCCATCACATTAAGTGTGAACAGATTTCCACTCGCCTCACTGAAGGCAGTAATAAACAGGTTACCTCTCCATTCCATGATATGATTGTTTTCTAAACCATCACTGGTGGAGAGTGTCACCTAGTGGTCATTAGTAAAAAATATCAGTGCTAATCTCAACTACCAGAAAAAGCAGCATGAGTATTTAAAAAAATATTCCTTAATAATTAGTCTAAAATCACACATTACTTGTGTTTATTGACTTTAAAATAAGAAATATACGTGAGAATAATTCAAATGAACTTTCCTTTTTTTCTCTTTACATTTTTTAAATTTTGTGGTATTTCCAGATACAAAAAGCACAGAAAAGAGGAGAATCAGTGACTACCTAAGAAAGACCAACACCGTGCAGCAGTATATGCTGAGGGCCAACAATGCAGACAGCAGCTGTGCAGAAAAGGGCCTGGGGTCCTTGTAGATGCTGCGTTGAACACCAGCAAGCAGTTTGTCCTCATCGCAAAGAAAGCTCATGGTGTCTTGGGCTGCAGAAGGAGCATTCCCAGCACATCAAGGGAGGTGATGCTTCCCCTCTCTTCAGTGCTGCTAAAGCCACCTCTGGAGTTACTGTATCCAGCTCTGGGCTCCCTGGTACAAGGGAAAGATGGAGCTACAGAGACTGCGAAAGGCCATAAGGGTAGTAAAAGAAGAAACTCCCTCTGAGAAGAGGAAAGGCTGAGAGAGCTGGGACTGTTCAGTCTGGAGAAGAGGTTGATGGGAAGCAGATCTCAACAAGTTCTGCAACTATCTGAAAGAAGGACACAAGAAGGATGGAGCCAGTGTCTTTTCAGTGGTGTTCAGTGACAGGACAAGAGGCAACAGGCGCAAAATGGAACACAGGGAGGTTCCATCAGCATATCAGGAAGCACTTCTTTGCTGTGGTGGTGACAGATCACTGACACAAACTGCCCAGAGGCCATGCAGTCTCTTCCTTGGAGATCTTCAAAAGCCACCTGAACACTGTCTTGGGAACCTGATCTGGAATGGCCCTGATGGAGCAGGGAACCAGTTCAGAGATGGCCACACAGACCCAAGGGCAGCTTACCACCTCAGTCATTCTGGAATTCTGTGAAAACCCCTTCTTTGTCAAAGAGAAAGGGAAAACTGATCACATTAAAACGTCTACCAAACTCACCAACAAGAAAAAGTCTTAAAACAAATACTGATACTGTATGCAAACAAACAAAAAAAAAACCAACAGTTTTTCCAGTAGAAGTCTAATTTTTACATTCCAACTACAACCAATAATGCTTCTTGCATACACATGTCTTCTGCACATTAAAAAGAAGAAAAGGTAAACCATTTCAGACTTTTGTTCTCTAATTAAGGGATTAAAAAGAACAGCAGTCTTTCTTCCATCCCTTTCCTTCCTCTTCTGCCTCTACTTGCTGTGTGTTATTTCCTCTGTCATCCATAAGAATAATTTAATTCTACTCCAAGCTAAGAAGAAGAAAAAAAAGAAGGCAAGACAGTCAAACAACCTTTCCACTGGCTGACTGGAAAAGTGTTTAGACTCCTGTGCAAAGTAACGTGTACCAATACCCATGCTAGAAACATCAGCTCAGGGTAAGGGCTTGTGCTGCTGAGCACAACCAATTCCTTGTAACAAGCAGCAGAGTGGCAAGGCTTCATCTACAGGGAATATGAGCCTGCTGTGGGCAAGCAGTGTCTGGGTGCGCTAGGAGATCCAGAGGGCAGTGCTGAAAGGTGTGGTCAGAGCAGGAGCTGCTGGAGATGTTGGGCTGTGCCAGCATTCAGAGAACATGCAGATCAGACTGATGTTTTCTCAAAAAGCTGGGAATACGTCCCTGAAGCACATAAGATCAGGGAATAGAACAGGACACAAAACGCTGGAGAACAACTGGAAAATTTGGTAATGCACACCTGAGAATACTAATTCTGCTGAGAAACTGTGTCCTAAAAGGCAGTTCTCCAAATGAATGCAGGTCACACATACTCACTAGTAGGAATCAATTCATTTTTCTCCCCTTTATTAACAAGTTTGACACTTGCTTGATTCTCTTTTACAATCAACTATATTTAAGGCCAAACTCAGTGCACTGTTGGGGATGGGAAAAATGTTTAGAGATGACTAAAACCAAATACACCACTTCTCAGTATGACTAGTTGAATGAAACAGAACACAGAATCATAGAATCATTTTTGGAAGGGACTTTTAAAGGTCATCTAGGCCAACTCCCCTGCAATGAACAGAGACATCCTCAGCTAGACTGGTTTACTGAGAGCCGTGTCCTGCACGGCCTTGGATGTCTCCAGGGACAGGGCACTCTCCACCTCCTTAGGCAACCTGCTCCAGCATTTCATAACCCTCACTGAAAAACATTTTCAGAAGATTCAGAACAAGACGCATACTGAAAGCTCCTATTCCACAGCTGGTAAAGGACAGCTTAGCAGATGGACAAGCTACTTTCCAGATTTCTACTTCTTACTGTAAAATGAAAAGGAATAATCCACTTTACACACAGAGCATGTATGGCAGCACTTACCTGCTTAACTCAGATAACAAAACACCTATGTGACACCAATAGGATACTGTCTTAAAGAGGCTTTCGGAACTTCTTTTTTTCAGAGGCTTTTAAAGGGCAGAACTTGGCACTTCTTTGTTCTAAAATCAGCATCAATTATATAAAAATAAAAATTCCCACATATCTTTTAAAAGATTACCAGACTGTATCATCACTGAAGGCTTTTTTGTTCAGGATGCAGTAGAACAGTAAAGTAAACAGCAATAAAGAAAATATGCATTCACCAAGCCACTCACTCACCTTTAACGACAGGGAGCCAGCAAGTAAGAAGTGGTCCACGTCAATGACAGAGGCAAGGAAGCCGGCCAGCGTAACTTCAGGGAAGTCACTTTTCTTCCTGAGTCCAATCACTATGGCCCAGGACCACATGCCCAGTATGCCGTGCACTGCATTATCAGAGAAGGCTCGGAGCCAGTCATTCTGCTGAATGAAGGAAACCTGCAGAAGTCTGTCTGCTGCAAAGCAGAATACTCCCAAACCTAGACTAGAAATAACTGAAGCTGCGCTGAAAGTCTGGAGAAGAGCATGGGCCTTTTCAGTCTCAGATGCCATGGTAAAAACCATGTGACAGCATGCAAAATGTCACCAGGGTATACACTGAGCATTGTCCTATGTATCTTCAGTTCTGTAAATGTCAGAAAGAACACAGTATTAAAGAGAAAAAAAAAGCCAGTAGCACAAAGCATTTGCCACCTCAGCTAAAATGAGCATAAGAAAACAAATCCCATGTTCATGTTCAACATTTCTAGAGAACCTTTGGTTTCAGTTAACTCAATCTATGTGGCAGATCTAAATTAAAATGCTTGTCCTGTTCCACTCAGAACACGCAGCTTGGTAACAGAGGTAGCTCTAACTGCTTTCTGAAATCTTCAGTTTCACAAAATAATTTGAGTCATGTCTATGATATGACAATGAATATATTTCAAGATTCCTCCTGCTCTTACATTCAAAGTTACTCATCAAATTGAATACCTTCCATTATAGCAACAGAGAAGAAGATTCAGTTTTCAGGATTCCTAATACTGATGCTCAACAATCTCTAATCCCTCCATGCCACAGGTGTTAAAACTGACTTTCTGAACTAGTATCCTAAACCACTATTTTCATTTATATACTCTGTAAAGATATTTATTATCACCACAATGCCCTTTTCTGAGCTAGTTCTTCTTTGTCTTGGACACTGGCAATTAGAAAAAGCATTAAGAAAACCAAAATAACTAAAATAACTTAAAAAAAACAACAACAACAACAACTAATAATAACTATCATAAACAAAAGGCAGCACTATTCAATCAACCTGAGGTAACCCAAATTGACCTCTTACAAAACAAAACTACATATGCTTTTCACAACAGCTGTTACTTCCAGGCATCACCTACAATTTCCTGCATTAACTTTATATCAGTTCTTTAAATAGAAAAAATAAAAATAGAAAGCAAACTAATCCCAGTAATGTCATTTTTCAAAAGCTGACGTTTCTAATGTGAAAACACAGGCACTGCTTGTAGTAATAATAATCATTCAAAAGTCCTTAAATAATATTTATGCTCTGTAATTCTTATGAAACTCTGTTTGGAATCGCACAAGGCGATTTCTCAAAAGTCCCTGCCCTTAAATGACTTCTTGACGCCTCACAAGAAATTTCAAGGGGATTCCAAGGTCCAAAAGACCCCTACCTGCAAAGACACGAGTACAAGATACCTGGATAATAAAAACAGAGTACTTATTTCTGTGAGAATATTAAAAAAAGCAAGCACTTGGAAAAAAAAATCATCGTCCCATAAAACATACACTCTGTAGCTTTGCTGTGTTAAAAAAGCAGCGAAAGGAGATTTTAGAGCACAGCATCAATTCCAACCATCTATTATGCTCTTCTGTATTTCTGGGCAGACTGAGCACAGTTTCAAAGCACACATCCTAATAGGCTGCTATTTCTCAGAGACACATGGAATATTGCTCATCTTATTGCTACACCAGGTAAATTTTTATTCTAAAAAGGCTTCTCCTGAAGGCATCAGACCTCCTTTAAAAATGAATTTAAAAATGCATATTTCTAACAGTGTTAAAATACAGTGTTTTATGATTTTAAACACATTATCAGTCATAAGCCCCAGAAAATGTAAAACATTTTTTCTGGCTTATTTACATACGTGTTTATTGTAGAATTATTCATAAGGCATGACTGACATTGATCTTCGTAGAAAAAAAGCACATCAAGCCATTTATTTGGAAAAGGTTAAAAAAAGCAAAGGACATATGAATAATACATGGGCTTTGCATAACATGTAAAAAAGCAGGTGGAGCTTAGAGCTTGTTAACCATGACTGTGCTGTGCCTCTTCTGAATAAACATGCAGACACAAAATATTTCCTCAAACACTGGAACTGCCATTTTTTGGAGAGGGATTTATAATATTCTGTACATTTCTGTATAAATTCCATTTGAAGAAACAAAGAGCAATACCTAAAAAAGTTCATTTTACATAGCCATCATGTCAAACTGGATTACCACTGTCACGAAACTTCTCTAGGAAACCAGTTTGGGAAGAACTGTTGCAGCAACATATGCATAAAAATCATGTCAGTATTGAGAACCAAATTCACCTTGGGCGTAGGAGAACACATTGTTGCAGTTGCTTATTTCAGTAGAATATGTGGTCTGTGCAGTCAGTAGGGATGAGTTGCTGTATCCAGCTGTGTCCAGTGCAGTTAAGACCACTTTCTTCCATGCCTAAGTAAAAGAAACCAGGCACTAAAAGCATCAATGCTGCACAAAGCATTGCAAACTCTATAATAGAACAACAGTCAAAAATACAAAACAAGATTTCCCTTCAGATTACCCATAGCCAAGTATGTCTGTAGCAAAACTTTCGTAACAGTCTCTGCCACCTCTTAAAAACGAAAACGACTGCTCCCCATGGAAAAAAAAATCAAGCCACATCCTAGGTACAGAAGTATAAATAATCTGCAGGCCAGCAGCAAGATCTAACTGGAAAAAGCAAAATTCTGTTCAATCAAAATTATCTCCGAAATTATATATCTAATATTTAACTAGAAATCTCTTTTGCCTGAAGACAGAATGGTTTTTGGACTTCACAAAACATGGCAATAAAAATGTTATGTTCTGTAAATTTCAGAAAGCACAGTTATGGAGTGTACGCACTTCTTAAAGCAGAAAGTGGGAAATGGAGGTACAGCACCAGAATACTTAGGAAGCTAACCTAAGGCTGGGGGTGCTCAGCAGTTAGCATGCTGGAAGCAGGCTGGGTCTGCATAAAGCCCATGCACAGCTGTTACACAGTGTTGTTCAGAGCTGTCTCTTCTCACTCTCCTACAGGCGATAAAGCATTCATCATAACCTCTGCCTATTCAGCCAAAATGAGATACTGACTGTAAATTTAATTTCATTTAAGGAAATTACAAAAGAAAATAATAAATGCATTGCTATCACTGTAAGTTACCGACAGAAGTAGATATTCACACTAAAGCTGCAAAAGATGCATCTGGGGAAAAATCTGCCTCAAAGATGCCTTTCAGCTCACGCTATGAAAGCAAAATAATCCAATGGCCAAAAGCAGCATTTGGAAATACTATCACCCTCCAAAATTTCTGCTCTGATTTAGCAAGAAATTGCTGGATACATGGATAGGTACACACGACAGGAATGAACAGAACTCTACTGTTTCTTTTATACAAGAAGTCAGAAGGCCTCTTTTAATACTACAGTCTGCCTGAAAACACGATTTGACGCTAATTTATACAAAAAGCTTCAAGACATATAATTACCGTTGAAGACAGGAGCTGAGCCGTGCTGTGTCCCGCAGAAGCAGCTGTGAGTACCCAGCCGCCCGCTAGGGCACAACGGTCCGCTCCTCCGACGCACGCCGGGCTCCCAGGCTGGAGGAGGCCGAAGAGAAAAGCGGACAAAGCGTCAGCACACCTCTTGAATTAAAACCACCACAGAAACAACAGCACTCCGCCCTTCGGCATCGCGCCCCGCGCCTCGCCCTCCGCCACCCAGAGGTACGGATGCAGCCGTCCGGCGGGCAACAGCAGAACAGACGCCAAGAGGAACGCAGAGCGCCCGCCTTCAGTCGCGGTCCCGGCGGCGGAACCCGGCCCTCACCCGGCTCCCGTCCGAACGATACGGTCGCAGCCCCGCCCTCCGCCGCCGCATCCGCGACACCGGGCTGCGGGCCCCCTCCCGCACGGGGCGCAGCGAGCCCCGGCCCCGCGGCGGGTGGCGAGGGAAGTCCGACGTGCCGCGGAGCCGGCGGCCGGCGCGGCTCGTGCCTCCGCGCGCAGCGACGGACGCCCGGTCCCGGCCGCCCCCGGCACCCACCTGAGCAGCGGCGGGCGCCGCTCGGGCGCTCGCACGGCCCCCACTCGCCTCCGCCGCGCGAAGAGGCGCGGAGCGAGGAGGCATGCGTGGCCGCGGAGCACGCCGGGAGCGCGGTTCGAGAGCGGCCGCTCCCCGCCTGCAGCTCATGTTCCGCGGCGGCACGGGCGGCGTTGCGTTCCCAGTTCCAGCTGAGGGTAGTACAGCGCCGCACAACGAAACTACAGTGACTGGCTGATGCTTTATCACTTGGGACGGGTGGCCGCGCACAAAGACTGGCTGAGCACTTTTTGAATACGTATTTTATTAGAAAACAATAAATAGGAACCGTTTGGACAGCTTTTTACTCTATTCAATCCTTAACTACTTGGTACAAACTTCTGAACAAAAGCATGCTTTTACTGTGAAAACTGCCCTTCCTCGCCCACCATCATTTGAGCAACTTGAAACAAGTCGGTCCCACAGTGAAGATACACGATTCCAGTGGACGTTCAGTACACTGCTACAATGAAAACTAGCGCTGCCAGACCAGCCCTGCCACAATTACTGTGCCCCATCGCTCAGCCCATTCTCACCTATCCACACCATATCACACAGGGCAGGTCAGGCCATACTGTAATCTGCCACAGCCCCGTCCTTCCCCTCACACACCCAGGCCTGTTGGGACAGCTGGGACAGTGCCTGCATAGGCACACAACAAAGGCCTTCACTTCCCAGCACTAGCAAGAAGAGATTCAATATCTTGAATTATTCTAGAGGTATTTTGCAGAGCCTCCAAAACGTGTCCTTTGCTGATTTCCTCAGGATCACTCCCACTTTCTGTTCTTTTGACAGACAGATTGCTTCTTGCAGCAGATGTCCCTTCCAGAACATTGCTATTATCCAATAAAACTAGCAGTAGTTAAGAAAAATAGTCTTCCACCAATACTGACAAAAAATGCTTCTCTGTATTTTAACCATCATTCTGCATTAGAGAGGCTCACATTTTATATCACAGTAGTTAGACAAAACTAAAAAATTAAAACATCTACAACAATTCTAGAGAAGACCATTATCTAAGGCCTCTGTTTACCTGAGCTGCTTTAAAAATAAATAAAAATAAAAATGGAGTTTCACAGGATTAACTTTCACAGTAGTAAAGTAAACCACTGCCATAAAGAGAAGTACACAATGGCTTTCAGCAAATTAACCACTGCATGCTTTTTTGGCTGCCTGGGCAATTCTCCGGTAGCTGATAAACAGGATGACACCTCACTGCAGCACACCAAGAGGCAAATGCATCATTGATCCCCCAGGAACAGATTAGCAGATGATTTTATCCAAATGGATAGGGATTACTGGATTTTTGGTTAACACTTTTGTTTTTTACTTTCATGTTGTACTGTGTTACTATTTTTGTTTCCAGTGCTGTTGTACAAAAATTGGTCAAGATAAATGAGAAATGCAACTTCAAAAGGTAATTTTAGGAAGCAAGTAAAGCAATAAGAGGAGGTGAGAACAGAACAGAGAGCCTCTGATGCTCTAAAAAGGCAGCTCTGAATATAGAGATGAATTTCGTATGAGTGTGAATGTTCATAGCTTTCAAAAGGATACAGTTGAATCTCCGTATTTTTTCAAGCTCAGCATCGGCAGACCTGTCCAAGAAAAGAAAGGTTATTATTTACAATATTATCTAAAAAGCTTCTCAAACATGTTTTTGTACATCAGATCTGAGTAGTTTCTCAGAAATATTGAAAAAATAGAGAATTTCAAGTGGAAAAAAAACAAAAAACCCCACGTTTTTTAATTCGTATCAATCACTAATACTAATCATTAATTCCAAAAATCAGAGCTCAGTTCAGTAAACAGCCTCCTTCCTGTATGTATGTACAAACATATATATAGATATACACACTTATTTTATCAGCTACTTTATCTGCTCTAATGAGCATAACAAGTGTTTCAGTTATCACATTTGTAATTACGCGAATATTGTTGCATATTATGCCAGTAGTCCTTTGGCCATTAGCATATATTGTTAAGGACAAATATGTTTGCAAAAGATCCAGATGTCTTATAAAAGTTCTACATCTTACTTCGGACAGCTCAGTGTTCTGTTAAAAGAACTGCCCTTCTCAATCTGGAATCTCATTTTCACTTTGTAAGATATTATTTTGGTAACATGATTCTTTCTTTGACAGAGCAATCACCATTCTGACTTTTAAGTAAGGCAGGAAGAAACACCACGGAACTCTATCTACTTCTGTCTAGAACCCAACTTTCTGTACATTTTAAATATTGAATGAAAAATATGAAACTACACAAAATAAATGGATTTACAGTTTTCATTTCTGGTTCTTAGGAAATGCAGTCTATAAAATTCAGCGTTTGTAGTCTTATTGAGTTTTATTCTTAGTGTTATTTATAGTCATTTATTTAGCATAAAAATGAGTACCAATTTTCTTCAGTTAGAGTGTGTGTGGTAAATTCAAGAGTCTCCTTGCTTTCATTCAAGCTGCTGCACCATCCTATTACTGTTCTGATGTACCTGTTAACATGAAATTTGACAAAAAGTAGTTATTTAGATGAGAAATGCAAACTCTCCTAGTTCAAGCTACATCCCCCCGCCCTGTAAAAAGTGCAAAGAAATAAATTTGTTTGAAAGAAAAAGCCATGACTGAAAAAATCTAGCTTTTTCTCTGATTCTTTGCCTTTTTTTTTTTTCCTGCCAAGAATATCCTTAACATTTAAATCTGTGCAGTTATAGAAAATTATAACAAAGCCATCTGATTTGTAATGAACAGTATACAAGCGTTAATTTGTGTGTGGATATCAGCTTGCTAAAATGCAGTGCAGTAAGGTTCTGATGATTCCCATAATGAGGCTGTGAATAGAGCAAGTGGATTAGAAAAAGGACCATGCGGGTGGAGGTCAGTATCAGTAATAAAGCAAAAACTGGGTAAAGCACTACTTCAGCTCTATATGCCAGCTTCATACAGCACAAAGATTTTTTAATTTTGCTTACCCTCTGATTTAAGTGCCAAGCTGCAGCTCTAGCTTAAGGCTTCCTTTTTTTAAAAGACATTACACTTCTATAGCAATTATACTGGAATGACCATATACAGTAATCCTGAGTCATACAAGTCTCAAATCTCTGCCAGTTATGCGTTATCTATCATTACATATTTGGGCACGTCTTCCCCCCCATGTACTTCCAGTAACTACTATTTCGTTATATAAAAGGGTTTGCTTAAAACTTTTTAGTATTTCACTTCAAATTGTTTAAATTACTTATACCTTTCATAGATTCCAGGATGCCTTATTTGGATTAGCTGCTGTGCCCCATCAGGAGTAGTTAATTTACACCAGCCTACATCTTCATTTACCTTAGGAAAGAAAATTATTTTGCTGCTGTCTGAGTAAGTAAAGGACAGTAATACCATTTGCTGTTTTAGTAATAAACGATATGTGAACACTTTAAACATTTGAAGTGTGCTTTTTGAGAAGGATACAATTTCTTACAGTCTGTTATCACAAACATAGGGGAAGGTGGAAGAAAAACCTGCCATGATCTGACACTGTTTTTTGTGCTGTTTTAGAGTCATTTATTTCTAAATGTCTGCAGGAATGTTTCCAGGTCTGTATTGTTTTCTTTTCTTCCTACTTTCATCACAACTGAGTGTAAAGACTTCAGCTCAATCACATCCTACAGCTATTACTCTTTTGGCAAGCTGAGAATTGTATTTATTTTGTTTATATCCTCAGGCACTTTAACAGCTTTTTTTGTGGTTAGTCATCTCAGAGAAAAAGAAAACACATGGAAGCCAAAAGTCTTAGCAGCCAACTTTGAATTTTACTGTGACATAATTTTCTCTGTAGCGCCATTTTGCATTTCAGCACTCTGTAGTGCACAAGTCAAGATAATCTTTTTACTGCAATACTAAATAAATCTAAAATTTTAAGAAAAAATATTTAGACCCATATCCACAAAGTATTTTTTCACTATCTATTTATGCAATCATAAATAATCTGAAATAACAACAAAGGAATAAAATACCAGTCCCTTCTTTCACCAATTTGAGCAACCTCTCAAAAGGATAAAGTTTCACTTATTTCTTAGGCGTGAGCCGTGCCCTAAAATATTTTTCCTCCTCAGTATCTGAGTAACGTGCCTACAATACATGGTGGCATCTCCACACAGTTTCTGTATCAGCTTGAGAGTAAGCCATAGTAGAAAACTGCGTGGAATTATGACTCTGAAAAGACCCCAGCTTGTATTGCATTCACATCACATCTTTTTTCTTCTTTCTTTTTTTTTTTTTTTTTTTTTTCTCATTTGTTTCGTAATTACCATTTTTAATGAAGATTTTTAAGAATAGTTATTTCTCTATCCCTTGAGTTACCTGAATCTTTGTATAGCAAGAGCTGAAATCCCAGACCATATTCAAGGAGACACCATCCCAGAAAACAGCATGGACTTTATGGTCTGAATATACAAGAAGTCTTCCTATGCCAGGAATAACCTTCTCATCCAGCAAAACTGGCAAAGTTTCTCGTCCATCTGTCTCAGGTACCTCGAGCCAAACAAAAACATTAAAAATAATGAGGAAGGGTCACTTACATCATTAAAGCTGTTTGTATCTTTCTGAGATTTTCATGTTTTACTAGACAACGTGCATCTCTCTTTGTCAGTTAATTTCTTTCTGTTTCACCAACACAAATCAACACTGCATGCTT